ATCATTTCTATATATATATATATTTTATTTTGTATGTAGACATCTATGCATGTAGTTATGTATGTATGTAGACTCTTGTAGTGTACTCATGTATTTTTCTTGAGTAGACTATACAAATAATTATAACTTTTATAATGCAAGTTGAAATTTACCGTTTCAACATTCACAAAATAACGTTTTAAAAGACACAATATAGTTAAAACAATTATTCCCCTTGAATAGAAGAATAACTGCTAGGCAGCTTATGGGTGCTGCGTTGACAGCATTAGTACGATGATATTTTTTATTTTCTCTCTTTGCCAACACCCAATGAAAATGCGGCAAGTGTCCTTTGTGATTCCCCTGACAGTTTTCCCTCTACACATAGCACGGTTGTAGTTGAAAATGAATTCGGAGTTGTCCTCAAAATTCACACGTTTTAGTGAAAAATGTCAAAAAAGCTAAATTTGAATCGTGTAGTTAGATTCATTGAACTGATTAAATATGCTATAAATAATCCGATTTCCATATTCCCCATTCACTAAATAAGAGTTGTCTGGTCCATAAATGAACTAAACTTGCTTTACTTATTATGAGTTATTATCCCATCATAGACGAACTAAAGTAATATACTATTATTTTGATCATGCACAACTACCCAATTCAACAAAAAATATCTATCTTGTGCCTCTCGAGGTATAGCTCAGTGGTGCAAAAAATAGAAGTAAGCTAATCTCAGTTGAGTTGGCAGTCGCAGTGTGAGTGTTCGATTCCTGCCTCTTATAAGGTATGAAATTGGACTCTTTGTGGACACCAATATGTCAGCTCTTGTACCCTGATCTGTTGAAACACATCTCGCAATTTACCTCCTCCACAATGTTCTAGGGGTGGGGCGATGGGGCATGTCCAAACACATTAAGTAATATTGTGACAACTATGAAATTGCAGAAGAAGATCGTGAATTTCATGTACTATCGTAGGAGTATTCGTCGATAGATTTTAGTAGATATCGATACTAATTGAGTATCTGCCCATAAATTTTAATAGACATATGTACGATTGTAGGATGTTATGATTCAAACAGCAACTAACTATGGCTTTTGGCTAAAAAAAAAAAGAGTCATAGGTTTAGGGAAGATCGGAGCAAGAGAAAACACGAACTACTTGTTTAACCATGAGACTAGGCACACCTTTAGGGACCAAGTCATGATGGTATGGGTCAAATGAGTCCAAATGAATCTCTTGACAAACTTCATTTGTTTTCGAGGTTGAATGAGAATGTTATTTGATCCATATTTGGATAATGTTTATAAACGATTAAATTATATATCGTATAAACGTTTTGTGAAATCTAAAATTACTATATACTTAATTCACATTTTTTTCTATACGTTTATAAATAAACTAATCATAAACGACTTCCATACATGCTTTTCTTGGTTGGTAACTATCAAAAGAATAAAATATGTTTTGATATTTTTGAAAAAAAAAAAGAAAAAAAAAGAAAGAAAAATCATGCTAGTGCAGTTTTCCGAATGCATGATATGACGGGTCAAATCCGACTATCTCTTTCTCTATCTTTAGGGCGCAAAATGCCAATATCTTTAACGTGAAGAGGCAAATTATGTTTAAGAAAAAAAACGAATGATGCCATTGTTTGACCAAATTAGCCATTAGTGGCCACAATTGCAAGCATACAGCTTTAGATGAATACGGAATAACCCCAAACTGGAAATTTCTTTCTTCATCATCCTGCATTTGCAGGCACTAACTAAAGCATAAATTCAAATTTCCAACCAAAACAAATTACTATTCAAATGGGTCCATATAAATTAGAGCACTGTTACTGTAGATTAAAATCAGATTTTTAGTAAATTTTAATAAAAGTTAATGAAATTTGTGGTTGAAAGGTTGTGGATCCTATGAAATATGTAGTTAAAATTAATTTTTGACTTTGATTTGAGATTAAAATCAGATTTTAATTTGTATTTTTATTGAATCATTCTATCTTCTTAGGTCAATCCAAGACACATCTCGACTACCCAATAATTTAGCTGATCAAAACCTCAAGAATTCTAGCAGAACATTTGAACTTTGAAGTTGTGAAAACCTCAAAATCTACAAGCAAGAAATGGTAGACAATGTTGGTGTAAATTGAGGCATGCATGTATTCTATAGTATTCCATAAGCCGTTATGTTGCGGTAGTGCCCACATGTTCCCTTTGGAATCAGGAAGATAAAAGCTAGTAAAGAATAAAGAGAAAGAGAGATGAAAGAATTTTAGAACATGCTTTGGATCTATCGACTTTCTCGATCCTGAACTTGCCCACGTTTCTATTTGAGTTTTCTTTCGTAAGAGAACACACACAACACCACTGTTCTCCTTCCCAAGATGAAGACAATAGTTTTGCTATAAATTATAACAAATCTACTTCACCAATTTTCTTCCCCATAAGCACACTCAATCAGTGTAATAAACAAGATTTTAACTATCAACGTGGAAGATATTGCATTTATTGATTTCACAATTGAGAGAATATAGATGCTTCTTGAATACAAAAGTAAATGCAACACAAGAAAGAGGTGAGGACTTGGACCAGAAAGAAAGATGGAAGTACATTCTTAAAGAGAGTGGATGGAGGAGGAGAGAAATGCCTTTGCACGCATGCAAGAGTTGTGATATCACTCAACGGGAGAAAAAGAAACAGAAATTCAGGTGAAAAGGAGGAAAAAGAAAGCATCTCGTCCATCCACATGTAATAAAGGCCGAGCGGTGTGTCTGTGTTTATTGAAAATGGTGAAAGATTAGAATTTTCTTACTTTCAATTCTATCCCAGGAAGAAAATAACACTGAATTAAGAGTGCGTTATTGCAGAAATGCTTCAGGTGTTTGTACAATGAAAACAGAAACGTGGAAACCGTCATCAGAACAAAGCCCACAAAACAAGAAAATTGAAAATGTGAGAAACAAAAACCCAGAATTGGAATTAAGCAGAAGTCCCAAATTTGAAATGCTAAATACTAGCACTCTTGCATGATTGATGTTCCCAGTTCCCTAAGCTAAATACAAAATCATAATAAGAACATAAAATAATTTCTCGGTTGAATCATCTTCTTCTTGTTCTAGTTAACCAGGTCCAGGTTAGGTTTTCTTACGAAGAGTGTGCTTATTGTTATGCATCCAGACTTTGAGCACATGTCTTCTAATTCCAACTTCATTGCAGAATTGCTGCACAAGTTCCTCATCTTCTTTTTCAATCTTCCAACCCAAACGTTCAGCGAAATTCAGCATCTTGTCTTTCTGTTCTTGTGTAAACTTGGTCCGGAACCTTTTCTTTCCTGCACTGGCGCTGGGGTTGGAATAGTAGTCCTCAAGCTCATCTCTTGACCCACTTCCTCCGCCACCTGAACTCGACGGCAAGGCAAGAGGGAGTCTCTGCTGCTGCGGGTGAGCAACGTGGAGGTACCCACTTGGGCTTCTGTAGCTGAAATGCCCGTGTGGGTGGTGGGTAAGAAGTAGCTGTTGTTGCTGGTTCTGGTGGTGGTGAAAGATAAAAGCGCCGCCTACTTCAGTTTCCCTGCGGTGGAAATTCCGGTGGCAATTGCAAGCGGCGCATTTGAGTGCATCCAGACTTCCCTCCTCTCCCGCTGCAATAAACTCGCCGCATCCATCCACCGCGTGGCCGCCGATCCCCACCGCGTGATTTTTCAAACAGTCTTTGTACCTAGGCTTCCTCAACTGCGTTACCGCGGTTTCAACAGGGCTCAGCATTTTAGCTGGCCGAGTCGAGTTAGAGTCAAAACTCGGTACCTCTCCCACATGCTGATGCTCCTCCTCAAACTCCATCCTTTTTAGCTAAATTCAAGTCCTTAATTATCATCTGTCGCCTATATATAATGGTAATACACACATAACGTCGTACTTAACCCTACCGGGTACTTGGAATTGCGGGTTTTCTTCAAATTCTTTTTCAAGATAAAATTGTATATTTTTAGAATAAAAAAAACGAAGAGATAAGATCATGAAAACTAGAAGAAGAAGAGCGTGAATGGACAAGATTTTTCCTGAAAATGTAATTTTTTTACCCTTTTCTTCGTTACTGTTCGTGCGGTGATAAATTAAACGATTCTTGCTGTTGATTTGAAATATGAATGTTTTTTTTTTTGGGCGCATAAATTTTGTCAAAAATAAATAGTTTTAAGTTATTCAGGAAAAAAATAAGTCACAATTATCCTCAAGTTAAAGTTAGCAACAAATTTTAAAAACACATTTTATAGAATCCATAACTTTTCAACAGTACATTTTATCAATTTTTATTAAAAATCTTATTTTAATTTACACCAAACAGAGGCAATGTATACATCTATATGTTTATTCCTTTTTGGTATTTAATTCAATTATGGTGAAGTATAATCGTTATGGAAAATTTATATATCTGAATATTAAGCTTATGTTTGGTATGAATTAAAATCTAAATTTTAAATTTAAATCAAAATCAAAAATTAATTTTAATCACATATTTTCTAAAAATCACAACTTTTCAACCATCATTCATTTTCTTTTATCAAAACCTATTAAAAAACTGATTTTAATCCCCACCAAATAAGGACTCAACCTCAGTTTGGTGTATTTGAAAATTAGATTTTGATAAAAGTTGATAGAATATATGATGAAATTCCTGTTTGACAATCATTAAAACGAGTTTTCTTAAGGAAAATATGTTTTGAAATTTTTATTTTTTGGTGAACGTGTGATTTAAAAGTAGGAAAAAGTTTTTAACTTTATCGTGAGAATGTGTGATTGAAAGAATGTGAGAAAAAAAAAAATAGTTTTGTATTAATGATGGTGAAACAGGGGCTAAAAATTGTGAATTACTTAAAATATACTATTAAAGTTTATTTTTTAATATGATTTAAATTTTAATCCAATTATTTAATTGAGTCAAATGGTTAAACGTTTTATTTATTTTCATAATTTATATTAATTATTATTGTACTATTTTATTAAAATGAAATTACTGTAGCATGATTCATTTGCCTGAACGGTGAAATTGGCAGAATCCCACGGCAAAGGATTGTGGGGGTAACAGTACAGTACTGTATATATGTGCTGTGCAGTTTGCAGAGCAGACGAATGAGGACACTCGCCACGCGCCAACGGGTGGGCCATTCAGCATGAATTTCCACGCCAAACATTTGAAGGTGGATCCCCAGGTGGCGCGTTAAAGCGGCGCGTTGAAATCGATGTAGGTATTGCGATGTAGTTGTGGATGTTGCGTGGACGTGTAGGCTAGAGGTTGGGTGTATTTATCTATTAGGGAAATCTTCTGTCGAAATTCTGTAAATGTGTGATAAGTATAATAGTAAAAGTGAAAAAAAATGGTTCAGAATTTAGCCATGTTTGATGAGATGCGCTATAGTGGCAGGGTCGATGACTGACCCAAAAAAAGCGGGTCGAGGTGGCTTCATCTCGACCCTTAATCTGATTTTTAACAGTAAAAATCAAGGGTCGAGGTGGCGTCCTGTTTTTTGGTCGGTCACCAACCCTGTCCGTTTAGCATTTTTGATGTTTGATAGATATTAAAATCATGATATTTTAATAGAAGTTGATGAAATGTGCGATTGAAAAATTCTGAGACCCATAAAATATGTGGCTAAAATGAATTATTGACTTTGATTTAGACTAAAATTTAGATTTTAATCGGTACCAAACTGGGACTTAGATTATAGTTTAAACTCAATCAATTCAAACTTAAAACTAATAAACACACAATTAATTGTTCGGTACCAAACTGGGACTTAGATTATAGTTTAAACTCAATCAATTCGGACTTAAAACTAAACACACAATTAATGGTGAATCCTAGTAACTATGATGATTGCACTAATATTTTATACTATGACTATTTAATTAAATATGAATGGAAGTTCCAAGAAAATAGATTAATTAAGAAAATTGTGCTAGGAATTCGATTTCATCGTTAATATCCGTTAACATTCTCCAATTCTAGCTTTCAACTTAATTTATGCTTATATTGACAATCAATAATCTTTTATTATTTAATAATCTCTCCCAAGTAGAGTTAAATATTTTTTTATATATGGTCCGCGATATACCTATCTTGAATTCGAATGTGTAAAAATGCTGACAATAAATTCTATCAAACAATGATCTTCACTTGGGCCGATTCATTGTTCACATGCCAACTGAACAATCATAACACATTTATTATGTTTATTATTTCGTCAACCAACAACCTTCATTTGGACCGATCTTGCTTGCATAAATAACAAACATACACATCTTAATATCCCGAAATAAATAAATTTACGTAATAGATGTTACTTTTGTAATATATTACTTCTATTAGTTTATTTTAAGATATAAGATAATTGTGCAAACAAGCTTTTTTTTTTTTCTCGAACCTTGGCGCTGTGAACGCCTATGTGTGGCATCGCGACGCAAAGGACACTATTTTTTCTGGATTTTTTTTTTTTAAAAAAATTCTTTCTTGCTTGAAAAAACCCAAAATAAATTTTGAAGATTGATGTTTTTCTTCGTGAATCTATCTTCAAAACATCCATATAACAAAAAGAATTTCCTCAAATTTCAAAGATACAAAAAGAAGCTCATGCTGACTTTCTTACTGAAAAGAATAGACTTTTGACTCTTCTTGCTCAATGTACCAATCCTGAAGAAATGGCAATTTTGACAGAAAAAATTGCTTCTCTTGCCGAAAATGCTTCAAAAGCTTCAGTTCAAGAAACTTTTTCTGAAGATAGTTCAAAAGTAGATTTTGATTATTTTCAAAATGAAGATGATTGCTATGGAATAGATCTTGATGCAGCCATCGAAGAAGAAGTTCAAAAGCCTAAATGACTACATGAACAAAGTTATCTTGATGAATTAAGAAGATTTTGTATTTATCATTCAAGATGAATACGAAAGTTATATATATGAATTGAAAACTACAAAAAGACTAACAATTATGCAATCAAATCAAGAAAATCGTACATATTTCATATTTAACCCTAAAATCCATATGGATAGCCAAATAACAATTCAAAAATATGTATGATGTAACAATATATCAAGAAATTCGTAAAACGTAACTATCATGACCATTATTAATAATTTAATATGAAATTTAGCTCTAATACCACTTGTAGGATCTTAATTTCATATAGATTGATAAAACCCTACGTTCAATTTATCATGCATGCCAAATGGTCTCATGTCAAATTATCAATAATTTTATAAAAGAGAAAACATACTTGAAGCCACGACGATGAATTAAAGGGGTTTGAGGTCTTCCATAAAATAATCACGCTACTTAATGGATTCTCTCTCACTGACGAGGAATGTAGAGATGTAGAATCGTGAATGATTAGCCTTACAGATCATAACCCTATAAGAATCCTTATATATCAAGTTTTAATTATAGTCTCGTTGACCCTAATTAGTCTAGTAATGGGTAATTGAACATTGTGAAACCTATACCCAATAGATGCTTCTAGGGCCCAATAACTAGATCACTTAAATTTATCGTACTTAATTAGACAACCTATATAACAATTGTTAAGTAAACATATAAGCTCATCATAAGAAATAATATCACAAAAAGTGTTGCTATCTTGTGAAATGATTATTGCATCTTAGGAGATTGCCATTCAACCGTAAGCATCCGTGCACGGCAACTTCGTGTTAAAACACGAGAGTTCAACTATTGTCTCGATAAAAAAAAATCTCATTTTTCAAATCTCTTTCTTTTGCATTTCATGTTTATACTTCCGATAAGTTGAAATTGTATCCAAATTTATTTTTCACATATTTGCATTCTCATTTTAATTGTCGGAATGTAATTTATATACCAAACTTTTCCAAAAAGATTAACTAGGGATAGGTATGTCCAATTTTACAAGAATCACATTGAATCGAGTATCAACAAGAATGCCACATAAAGAACCAAACAATTCTCTGTAGAGATGGAACTAAGTTGGATTAGAATTCATCGATTCTTGTTTGGTCTTCTATATTTCATGTAAACTAACAATCTTATTGCAATGAGTTCGAGTTATCAGAATCAGCTTAATGGATCATTTTAATTCTCTTCTTCAACAGATTTCAGACAAGTATTTGCAAATTGCAGCAGGGTTCATGTGATCCCTTAAAGGTGCCGTGAGATTGGGAATTGACGTATGACTTGACGTCCTGACAAACACAAATACACACACACACACTTCTGTCAGCTCCAGGGGAAAGAGCTATTCTCTACTTTGTTAATGATGATTGAACGAGCACAAAGACAAAAAAAAGTCACCCATTTGGATTTTTTTTAAAATTGTTCAATTATGTATTGATAAGTGTTTCTCCTATTTTTGAGTACGTTGGTTTAGCCTATGTTTGATCCACATTAAAATTTTCATATTTATTCTTCTATTCATTTTTAACCACACATTTTTCAATAAAATAATATTTTTCATCACATCAATAACTTTTCCTTTTTTTTTCAACCACACATTCTCCATCAATCTACTATTCCAAAATACATTCTTCCAAAATAATGTGGCTCAAAGACACCCTAAAATTCAACTCAATTTATAAAGAATAATATCGTTAAATAATTATTTTTCCATCTAAAAGGCGTGCCTAATGGGTGACTAATGCGCGCCTGGGGTGGGGGGGGGGGGGATTAGGCGGGATAATACGCGCCTAATGCCTAAACTTGTGATTCTTGATTCTTGGCCTCGACGCTTCGCAACGCATTACGCATTTTAGAACACTGCTTACAACTATAAATTTCACCCACACACACTATGACTCTACAATTCACGCTCTACTGTCAA